GTGTATAGTTAGTAATGGGGAGAAAGAACTAGGAGCCATGGGCTGAAATCAAGAAAAGAAAAAAAAGAATTGATTAACAGGAGAGACTCCTTCTTAAAGGTATCTGTTAGCCTGAGGACCCGTCTAAACTGCAGCAGTTGGAATTCCACTGACTGCGATATTTGAAGATAGAAAACAGTTCAGAGTTTGAAAGACTTGTTACATGATCTCATGCAGCAGACCTTTCTGCTAAGTATTTAAGTTTGTAGGTTTCATGGAACGATAGCAATTGGTGTAGCTTTAATTGATAAGAAGTAGGTGGGACTCAAGCATACATTCAATATAAGGACAATTTTGACTTGTAAATATTCAGGGCATGTTTATACAAGCTTTTGTTTCTAGCCTTTACAATGCAGCAACAATAGTATATAAAATTCATTATTTTTACTAAATATTTTTAATTTCAGGTTGTGTTTTTTATTTTCAATGTGATGCATGATTCAATTTTTTTTTAATGCTCACTCTAAAATCTTTTAGAAGGACCAATCCTTGAGAGAAAATGTTCAGCACTTTCTGAAAATCAGAACCTTCAGAAATTGTGCATGCCTAGATTGACATTTTTTTTACAAAAACAGAAGCACTTCTCCAACTCTGATCCTGTAGAATGAATTTGACAAAACTCAGCACCCAGGTATGGCAAGGGTGAAATATTAATAAAACTGTGATAAAAATCCTAAGATATTTCTTATATTGTTTTTTGACAGATAGAATCATAGTATCGTTTAGGTTGGAAAAGACCTTTAAGATCATCCAGTCCAACCATTAACCTACACTACCAAGTCCACCACTAAACCAATTAAGGGTAGAGTAAAGGTATGTAGGTAAGCATAGATACATCATGCTTAGGTTATATGTCATTGTTATATAATATATCAGGAGAAAAATAAAATAGACTTTTAAAATTACAATGATAACTTTTTAAAAAAAAACAAAAGCCCCATAAACATCAAACATGAAATTGTATTTAAGCCAGTCCTTTGAGGGAGTCAACTTTATTTATATTTCAGACTTTAATGCATTACTAAGGAATAAAAATATATAACTTAATTCAATACAAATTATACTTCAGAAGAAAGATATTTCATTTCTATTGGACCTTAGCAACCTCCATATATAGTCAAAGCCTTAAGTGTGGACAAAGCATTGCTGGGTAATACGTGCAGTTACACTTACTGTACACTTGTAGTTGTCCTCTGAAGACATTTCTTCCACGAGAGTTTTCAGCCTTACATTCGTACATCCCTGCATCCTCTAGCTGCACATTAGGTATTTCAAGCACAGCTTGGGATTTTCTCAGGCGGGCTTTACTTGGATTATGACCATTAACTTTCCTCCAAGAGATTGTTGGAACAGGGCTGAAATATTTAGTAAAATTGCTGTTAGCGCTTTTCCACTATTGAGAATATAGGTTCTGTTATCTGGTAGTTTAAACACTTAATAATCTAAGTATCAATAAAATATAACCACAATTAAGGTTCATATAATGCTTGATATACCTCACTTTCTGTAGGGAATCCTTAATAAATGGTTTGTTACATGGAATATGTCTCATCCAAAAGGGAGGCCAAGTTTTTATTGAGATCAAATAAATCACTTGAAATACTCTCTCCAGAGCTTCTTTAGCACTCTATGCTTTACTCCTCAACACTTTCATTCAATAGGTAAAAGAAAATAATGACTTCAAAACCTGGATGAATTTAACAAATTCCAACACATCCCAATTTTCCTGCAATGAAACTGTTATTCAGGAGATCAGTAAGTGATACATCTATCTAGGTGGTGGCTTTCAGTACCACTGTATCTTGGATAAATTAATTTGACCAAAGTCTTGGAGACCTTTTCTGTTGCAATATTCTTTAAGTTACAAAACTGGTTGTGTAAGAAGTATTTATTAATGGCACTACCATTTCTGACTCACAGCATTACGTGCCCGCTCACAGGAGTGGAAGAGCTTTACACTGTACCTTGCTATGTGGAAACTGTCATTTACATTCATACTGATGGAAGAAATGGATTAGACAGTGTTTGCACTCATTCAATTTTCTTTTTAGCCCAAACACTCATCAGTCGTTATGCACCCATCGGGCTTTTTGGTACAGACATACATTTGTCTAAATATGGCAGTGGATACTTAGGGGGGGAAGAAAAGAAAAAAAAAAAAAAAAAACAACTGTAGGTATAAAATGTTTGATTTTGAGCTGAAAACTAGACTGCTTCAAGTATTCCAAAAGAAGCATGCAGGACATCAAAGAAGAAAATTTAACTGTTACATGCTGATAGTTTTTTTAAAAAAAATTTTGTATTTATTTAAATTGCTCTCAAGTCTAAGCTTAGATATAAACACAGTTGGATCTTGTGGCAGTTTAGATGGGGAAAAGTACTTCATAGCATAAATTAAAATTCAAAGCTTCTATTAATTTCTTCCATCATTTGATAACTTCCACTTGCTGCAACAATATGAAGCTGCAACAAAAAAAACACCTTTCCCTCAGTATTTTAGGGTGTCCAAGTTGAGACACAACAAATACAGACATGGCAACCAACCATGGGTAAAGCTCTAGCTATTCTTCAGCCCGTTAAAATCAGGCAGTGAGTTACTGCAGTTACTTCCAGACAAGATGCTCCAAATTTTAGTAGTTTACAGAGGTTCAGAAAATTCCCAGACTTGCAGATGGATGTCAGAAGGTTTCTCTAATCTTATCTCCTGAATGTCACAAATCACTGAATTTCATTGAGCCTATTAACATAATTACCTTCACAAAGTTTATTTCCTGGCCAACATATAGTCCCATATGGAATGGTATCTACTATTTATTTGAATATATCAGAAAGAAACAATCATTGTTTCCCTTATCAGTTTGCTGCACTGATTACTTAACCTGACAAAAGATACTTTATTTTGAGTGTGTGTGGATTCATCTCTGAGGCATAGTCCCTACAATACCTTTCTATTCTTTATCACTCTCCCCCACAGAAGAAATACATATATGGAAATCAAATCACCTTTTTTCCGCCCTTAGTAAACAAAAGAGATTGATCTCTTTTTCTTCAGAACTCCAATCATGTATATCTTTTTCTTTTTATAGATGGTTGTGGATCATATGATGGGTGTGGATCATATGAGCTCTTTTTTTCCCCTACTGTATCACCATAGAAGCTTGATACCTTGCTCATTATTAATCTTATATTACTTTCTTGCTGACTGATTTCAAATTATGATGTCCTGTAGGTTTGGTTTGAGGATTCTTCTGTGCAGCTTGTATGGGTCTAATTTATGAAGTTTGCTTCCTATGAGAAGTTATTTTACATACTTTTCAATTAGAAGATTAAAAGAACTTCCTATTCTTATCTGACACGAGTACTTCAACCTGTTAAATTCTAAATACGAAGAATAAATAGGGTATTTCTGTCTGTGATGTACTAATAAAACTTGCTGGTTTTAGCTCTACCACTTATATTCCTTTCACATCCTTAGCTACATGTTTTGATTTGCTATACTTTGATAACTATTTGTATATAAGTAGCACAAATAACGACTTTAGTTTCTTTTTTTCCCATTTATTAGCTCTCATATTTTATTTCTAATTGCACAATTCACTTTGATATTCAAACATACTCTTTCTTGGGTAACTTTCTGGAGATTTTGTAACTCTTGTTGTTTTGGGTTCAGCTTTAAGTGTGAACTCATATGCTTGTCCTCTGTCTATATGGAATATGATTATGTCATGATTGCTGGCTGCAAAACAGCCACCATAGCCAGGCAAGTGTGCTGTTAATCATTATTGATCACAACACAGGTCCATAGTAGGAATACTTTATGCTGGTACAGTGTAATACCACTCAGCAACTGCTGTTTTATGAATGAGATAGGTGTGCAGGTACACTTTATTTGGCACCGTAAGGGTCCCATACTTGTTACTCATTATTGCTTATTTGCCTTTCAGCCCTACTTCTAGTAAAATCAGTGACAAAGATGCTTTTACTCTATTGTCATGGAAAAGCTGGTTCTGCTGAATAGAACAGATAAGTCGAATTTTTTCATAGTGTATATTTCTGAGAAACAATGAAGACATTATGAACCAGAAAAGCGGTCTCATTTAGCTGCTATGAAATTACTCTGAAATTCATGTATTTAGAAAATTTCCTTTAAATTGCATTTAACTAATTTTTTTGAAATTTGCTTTCATGTATCTACAGAAAGTAAATGTGTATGACATGGCAAATACAGAGGAAACTTGTTCTCTAGGTCATTAGGAAACATTTTTTTTGAAAAAAACCTCACTTCTTTCTTTGTCAGTATGAGGTAGTAAGTGGAGTTTTTGAAGGAGATAAAATTACTTTAGCAGTGTAGATTTAATGATTTCAAAGGAAAGTACTCCCAAACTGCAAATCACTATTCACGGACAACTTGTAGTTCTGTTTAATGAAGCTTCTTATTTTCCTTGCATAATTTACAAGTGAGGTATGAATTTTACATCTGAAATAAAAATATATCTATACCTATTTCTCCTCTGTGACTTGTGTGAGAATGAAATGAAAGAATGAAATATATCTGAGTGGGGATGTGAAAGAATAAAATTGTGTGACTGTTCTAGAAAACTCATAAAATCCACCATAAAAGCTAACTAACTTATGCACATATTGTTCATCTTTTCAAATGATCCACAGCTTTTTAAAAAATAGAGCAACAGCAGAAATACCTCTAACATTAATATCAGTTTAATGTAATATGCATAATTGTTAAATCTTATAATCATTGTAATCCATTTTTATTTTGTTCTCAGCAGACATCTATGGGAACATAGTTTCCTTGTTTATTATAACCCTATTCTCATTCAACTTCTATGAGTAACTTTATTCATGCTTCAGTTGACTTCAAAGATAAGATTTCCCCTCACTTTTGGAAATAATCTGTTGAATACTACTGGTAAATCTTAGTACCACTGAGAAAAAAATTCTATTTGATTTCAGAAATGCCATCATTAAACTTCTCATTCATCTGAGCTGAAATAAAAGTTCTAAGAGGTCACTGGTGAGTGTGATAGACATTACTGTGGGTTTGTTCATTTTGAACTTGAAGAAAGTACAAGTTATAGTTTTATATTTACATCTAGAAGAGATTATAAGAGTCAATTTTCAACAATGTATTATTTGGGACAAGTGCTATTGAGTTGGTTTGGAATTCTTCACAAGTTTAATCAGAAATAAAGCTTTGAAAAAACTATTGGAAGCAATTTTATACTTTTTTTTTTTCAATTTCATCTGAAAAAGAGTTCAATTAGGTCTATAAAGCATATGTTTATTTCAGGAAAAGGGTGAGGTGGAAATGATCGTAATGTCTGAATTTTAAAATATGTGTTCCATGGATCTGAACTCCTACTTTTTCAGCAGTATCTTAAATAAGAATGCATAGGGTACTTTTTCTATTTTTGGTTGGTACAAATTGATGTGTTTTTTAAAATATTTTACCTTCTACTATAATTTCAATTCCTCTCCACACTATTTCTCTTTACCATGCATCACTGTGCTGAGCCGTACCTTCAAACCTGCAGGTTCACCTCATAATACATCTTGAAAACTTCTGCATGCCTGTGCTTGTGAGACTGGAAAAAACGTTTCTCCTTATGCCCTCCAGCCTTGCAACTGTGTTAAATATCTTCTAATTATTGCAGGATAATTACATAGGATTAAAATGTCAAGGAGCATCATGAAATTCTCTCCATCAGATACTTTCCAGAAACTCTCATCAATTGTTCACATGATTCTACCTTTAGAACATCCCATATAAATCTGTTCTGGTCAGATGCAGAGATTTAGGAGACAAGATAATAACTTTTCCTTTCATTTGGTTATTAAAAGATAGTTAGTACTCATGAAATATAGCCGCTGTGAGTACTGGTGATTTAAGAATAGAAATAGAATAGAAGGAACGGTGATGAGTTTGAAGCCTGCATGCAGGAACAAGTCTAGGTCTGCAAGTCATGTCAACACACATCCATGACTGTACTAAAAAGGTCTGATGCATGTATCAGTGTCAAATACTAATGTGGATGTACTTGCCCACCACTGCTGGCTTGTGCTTTATGGCACAGAAGAAGCAGAGTGTGTCTTTGCTTGACTGCACGTCCAGCTCCATGTCATGTTCTTCACGCTTGAAGTCCTAACATGTTAAGGCATGTCTAACATCTAAAATAGTGCTATAGATAATGATTCATTTATATGTAATGAGTCATTATTCATAGTGAATTGTACTCCAGAGGCTTTTCTTTACTGATTGATCAGAGCCTAAACTGTGAGCTCAAACCTGATCCTTAACTATTAGATAGATAAAGTTAGATAACATAACTTACAGTTC